TTTTCATGTCATTTAAAGACGAGCTTCTATTTCATGTTACCTGAAGACTCTGACTCTGTACATCATCTAGAGTTGGAAGATCAGCCAGATACTTTTCCAAGGTCTCAATTCTTCTCTGCTTTTCTTTGTTTTGTTCAGATTCCTTCTGGCATTTCTTTTTCAGGCTACTGATGTATCTATCTCTAGTTTTAAGCTAAAGAAAGCAATTATGAATCTTCAGTAGTTTTGACTCACTAAACAAAATAACAAAACCAACATTCCAATCTTAGGCATCACTGAATTCACCAACAGTTCTGGGTCATAGTGAAGACCACCAGCACCTCAATAAGACTTACCTTACTTCATTCTAAAATTCACATTTTTTTTTCAAATTTTCATTATCACTGAAATCAAGAGTTTTGGAGATACTTGTCTGCTTTTACAACTGATGGCATCCTATAAATTGCAGTCAGCCAGGAGGCAGTAATGATGTAGTTTTTCTTGCCGGCACATATGCAAATTTGGTCAAGGCTGTTCACATCTTTGTCATTTCAATATTGTTATGTACATGTTGAATCTATGTGTTAAGTTTAAATTATGCTTAAAATGCTTCAAAAATGTTACATTATAATTTGGTACTGAAAAAGTTATTGGGTACCAAGAAAGGCACAGAAACAAAGCTTTAGGATATAATTTTGAAATCAGTGAAGCAAGTATTCATCACTGAAGGAATGACTCCAGTGACTTATTTTTTGCACAGATATATTCAAATATTTTATGTGAACTAAGAAGGGAAGATACCCACAAGTGACTACAGCTGTTTTGTTAATAACAGACTTGCAAAGGAATTGCTTGCAACTTTATCCAGGAGAATGCACCAAATATTTAGGGACAGAAAAGGGAGTAGTGAGACCAATTTATACCTCAAGCAAGAGGTATAAATTGTTAAGGTGCTGGGTCATAATTGAATTTGCAGCATATTTTCTTTCTAAAAACCATAACATAAAGATGCCTTACTATTGATGTCATTTTAGGATTGGTGAAATATGCTAATTGAATAACTACTATAGAATATATATGGTATATGATTCTAGTAGATACCAATTTATATAGGCTGAACATCAGACTTTTACGTACTAATTTTTTTACCTTACCACCTGA